TAAGACCGTTGTCTAAGATTATGGATACTCCACCAATCGACGGTTCAGCATGGCTAGGCGTGAATAGTAATGAGAACGATGAGAGGTAAGGGTCTCTCTTGTTGCATAGTTCATTCAGCTTATTCTTATTGTTCTAGGTTTTATATTCGGTATTTGAAACAATCTCGTGTCCCGCGTGCTGCAAACGAGCGTGCGAATGTGGTGCGCGCGGAAATTTTGAATAAGCAATGGCAGAATTTGAGAGCAGATATCGAAGCAGTGAGGTAAAGCTTAGGTTTTAACCGGCGATGCATGGAATGATGATTAAAGGAAAGAATTTGATCAAGGGTAAAATTCTTTAAAATCAAATCATCCAAATATTTTACTTATTCTTGAGAGGATTATATCTGTTTCTCCCGTCGCAAATCTTCTTTTCTCATAATCCTGCGTTTTTTAAGGGCAAACAAATTGCGTTTAATGGCGGAACGTGAAGAGAGGCGATGTAATCCAGCTGAAATTGTTGAAGAACCTATGAATGAAAGCAGTATGTGGGTAAATAAGTATACGCCTCGACTCTATACGGATCTACTCAGTGATGATGTAAGCTACATTCTTATAGAGTGCAAACATTGATCGTAATTGCTCATCTATTTTAAGGGAATTAATCGAACTTTGATGTCATGGGTGAAATTGTGGGACGAATGTGTTTTTAAGAGAAAAATTGTAAACCTTCCGAAGTCTACCTCACTAAAAGACAAAGATTTGTTGACGCTGGACGCTGGCAAATTTCGTAGGCCCACATACAAGGTATTGAAAAGTACAGAATATATCTGTAATCACTTTTTTCATTTAAGACACCCTATCACTTCAGATTGCACTTCTTTCTGGACCAGCTGGACTTGGAAAAACCACTTTGGCTAATATTATAGCTCGGCAAGCTGGTTATGCAGTTGTGGAACTTAATGCCAGTGATAGCAGGAATGTTCCGGATTTTGAGAAAGCTCTTGAAGGAGCAGTTCGTACGTCGCGGACGATCACACAGGTGTACATAGTTTTTGATTGCATTTTCAGGCTCTTAGGGTCATCGCTGTTCAATTGAACAACAATTTGTTGCACAAACATTTATCTTATAATTTAAAGAAGTAGAAATAATCTCCACATATTCATTTAGGGAACTCGCCCTAATTGCCTTATTCTTGATGAAATTGATGGTGCACCTGTGGATGCGGTTCGATACCTTGTTAAAGCTGTACAAGCCACAGGAAAGAAGGCTATTCGTCGACCCATCATCTGTATCTGCAACAATATGTAGGTTCTTAAATTATAGTTTAAGCC